AAATAAGTAAAAGACAATAAATAAACAATGCAAGTGTTTCAGTTTCTTCACCAGTAATGTAGCATATTTAACTTGATTACTTCTTGATTACTTTCCTAAGCATTTTAAACTGGGTGATAAAGCAGCAAAGTCCTCCACAGGATGCTGAAGTTTCAGGTTTGATATCGAGCGTTTCAGTGTTAGCAGAGTTTTTCATTGTTTCTATACAATCTTTACACCGTACTGTAAGTTAGAGCCTTTTTTGGCATATTCGGCTTGTTGTGGGCATGGCAGACAGTGGTTGCTTGGAGGAATTCATATTGATTTCAATCCTAGACGAGGAGGTGCAAGTTCAAAGAAGAGTCAAAGTCAAAAACACTGCTTTGAATTTTAGTCCATACTACCAAATGCAAAGAGCCTGTGTAGAAACAACTCTTTGTAAATAGACCTGGCCTTGTTGGTTTTGGTCTTTCCCGGCAGTTTTGTCAAGAAATAAAAAATATTAAATATTTGGACGTAACCCTTTATATCCCCTGTAATTATTAAAGTTCTGATAGTACCGATGGTAAATGTGATTAGAGTACATATCTGTCTTTGGTAATATTTTGGTATTTAATAATTAATTTCTATTACACATACACGGTGGTGCCTTACTCATATCATTACATTTTTGTGTGTATGCATGAAACAACAGCACACCACCATTATCACCATGCATATCTTGTGACACAATTTCAGCAATATATGACAACATAATGCAAGATTTGTAGAACTCTAATTTAACTTTTATTTTTAGATTATTACACTTTTTTTCTTTTCATTTGTTTTGTAGCAACAGTGTAATATAAAATACACATCCCAAACAAGTGGTAAAAATATTCACCACTTGCTTGGCATACTAACCCTTTAGTAGTCTATAAAAAACATTAATGCCTTACTAAGAATACATTATATTTAAAAGACACATACATGTCTTAAACCTGGATTATATACCATTGGCCAGCAGATGAGGGGTGGGGGTTGGGGGTAGGGCGACTCCAATGGATTCAAAGAAAAATCTAGCTCTTTTATACACTATACAAAAGAGACTGTTTTTGTAATAGAAACAAAGTGTAAACTAAGCTAACACAAGCACAGAACAGATCGTATATGAAGAGAGAGAAATATTAGGATTTACTGAAAAATCTATATTCTTTTTCTGATCACAGGATCCAACCAATGGCTACTACAATGTCCGTGCTACAACCCATGACGAGGCGCGCCCCCAGTCCCGGGTCGTCCACTACCAGGGAGAGTTTCGCTCTCCAAACCCAAGCAGCGGACCAGCAGGAGCCACTTCCAGCGGACCCTCTGCGTCTGCCAGCGGTGCAGTTCCCCCCAGTGCGGTGCCGGGCTCAAGAGCTGGCTGCTACGACCCACGTCCACCATCCAGGATGTCCCATTCTACTTATGCCCAATTCAACACATTCTCCAGGGCAGCACAAAGCCAGCAAGCCCCTGCTAATCCAGCTCTTCAGTCACCCGGAGAATACCCTGGAGACTGTGGCCTGCTGGAAAGTACCACCCAACTGGCTTATGACAACTACGGATACCCTTCCCAGTATCCCAGCTACCGCATGGGCTTTGCTCCACCCATAGAGGAAGGGCCAGCCTATGAGATGTACCCAACGGGACAAGGGACAGGGCCAGGGCCAGGTCCAGGACCAGGACCGGGACCGGGGCCAGGGCCAGGGCCAGGGCCAGGACCAGGACCAGGACCACAAAGTCCTGAAACAGGGCTGGGAAAGTATGGAAGCTCCACTCGCTTCTCATACTCATCTCCACCTTCTGACTATTCGCAGAGACACACACAACGGATGCAGACTCATGTGTGAGAAAGTGGTATACAGGCTTTTTGGATTTGCTTTTTACAGGAGCAGTACTTATTACACAGAAACATAAAAAAAAAAATCTTTGAAATCTTCAAAAAATGCCCTCATATCTATACATATACACCTAAGAATCTGTTTTCTGTTTTCATCCTAACCACTGCATGGTATTCGGCTAATTTTCTGAGTTGATAAAACCCCCAGCAGTTAGCAGCATCACATATTGTACGGTTCACAGCAATACATGCAACACATGCACAGCGATATTCATACACATCTAAGAAGATGTTCTGTCTGCAATGTTTATGCTCCAATAAAAACAACAGCGAGAGCCACAATCAAGAGAAAACCGACAAAAAGACAAGAAGAGCACTTTGAAGACACGATGAAGAAGAGGAGCTTAGGGGATGCCCAGTGATCATTTCTCTTCCAGCAATTCTCATCTTGCTCTTGGACCGTTTTCTTCCATCACATGGTCCTGCCGCCCCATCTCTGTAAATAACTGCACATGGAGATTAGGGTCATTTTAAAGATGTTTCCTTGTACAAAACTATACATTGTGATGCAGTACATTGACCTACAGCAAACCCCTCTGCTAGTCACACGTTTTACATTTAGTGACTCTAACAAATTGCAGAACACACACGTGCAGACACACACACACGGATCTCTACAAGCCTATTTGCTTCTATGTATTGCATCAATGGGGCAGCTTGGACTAATAGTATATGTGGCACTTTTTGACTCCCCTTTCCTCACTAAAACTCACCCAATTGCCATTCCTTACAAGATCTACCTTGATTTAAATGGGACAAAGCTTCTTAAGGTGAGTGACCAGAGTGCCAGTGCTTATGTGCCAACACATACGAACTATTAAGACGTGTCTTCTTTTTGTAAAGCGTGGACAATGAGGTGCTCTGGATGATGAGATTTTGTACATGCCACATCTAAGATGACCGGAGCGGTAGCAAGCGTTTCTATGCTCCTTCACCCCATCTTTCATTTTTATCATCATGATGCATTTCTATACATTTCACTCAAGGTCAATGCTATAAATGGTTTTTGTGAAACGAGGTGGGAGTGCTTTTTCATTAAATGAATTTCTGCAATTTGTACAAAAAGATACCTCCCCTATCCTCAGTGTCAAAAACGTATGTGTTTCTATCACTTGCACAGTAGAATAGATTTTTTTTCCATATTTATACGGAACGGTATTGAAAAAGAAAAAAAAAAAACTGCATTCAGAAACATTTTATAGTATTTTTATAAGGAGTTGTGGACCAAAGGTTCAGCGTTTTGGGTGACACTCACTTTTTAATGTGTATGTGGCATCGTATTGGAAACGTTCCTTTACAAAGAGATGGATGGTGTTTTTAAAGTGGATGTTGTAGACTTAAATTAGAAAAAACATGAAGAGCTTCACTTCAAAATGATGAATATCCAGCAAAGGCAAATGTCTTTGATGGATATCTTTGTTTGGTGTGAAGCTCTTTCTTTGACTTCCAGTCTTCTGACTGGACTGCCTTTTTCAAATGTTGACGACATTCAATTGAAATGGATGGAGAAGAAGCAGCTGCTCAGGTTGAGCTGTGCTGTAAACTTTGCAAGCAAAGAGAAGGTTCAAACATATCAAAGTGAAAGTACAGAGGATTCTATCTAGCTCATATGGTACTTTGTACATTTGAAGTATGTGTAAGTATGCTGGTTTCCTCACTGCAGCAGGAATTTGGTGGTATGTTATGTCCGAGATTTTTCCCATTATGTTGTGTCAGCTTTTGATGCATGTGATTGACCTTTAACCCCTATGATCAGCATTTAAAACGTTGCTCCTCTAAAGTAATGTCACTGAATAGCTGTTTGGCCATTTGCAGTGATTATCACACTAATGTTGTCACAATTTGCACACTTTGTTACTGAGATTTGGTTGGATTGCTTCACCGTATAACTTCAAAACTTCACCTTCTGGTGACGTGTTTGTTGATTTGATGCAGCAGCATCAGTCTTCACTATATACTGACCTTTAGCTCATAAGGTTCATCGGCTGATCTCCATTTTTATTGCTCACAAAAGATTAAGACAGTTCACATTTTTAGCAACTCTTGGGAATTGTACCTTTTCCTAAGAGCGCATTCTGTACTGTGTATACTTTACTGGACAGACACAGTTAAGAGAGAGCAGAAGCAATAAAGTTTCACCCACTTGTACCTTTATTCTACAGCAGTTAAAATCTGAGAACAGATAATAGTGGTGTTTTAAAATAAGACCCCAGGCTGCAAAGGGAAGCCTGAAATCTCAGCACCTCCAGAGGTAATCATTGAGTGTATCAGCCGCCCTATCAACCCCTCTCGGTATATTATGGTAATTGTGTGCTAAGGGGCTGTAAAAAATGTATTTATTGCCTCTGTTTTGAATAAACACAGAGAAATGAAACCACAGACACACCGTTTCTGATTAGAACATCAGATTGAACCTACTAGCTCCAAGGTCACTATATAAACCTTTTCGGAGAAAATAATGGCAGGTGGAGCAGCCTTTTAAATTTATATGGTTATCACAGCCTTGGTATTGCATACTATTACCTCTTTACAACCCTTTTACAGAGTTGTAGCTGCGCAGTATTTTGCATCTGACATACAATGTCGTTACGACCTTGTGTAGAAGGAGTACATTTGACACAGAAGAGGTACTGAGGCCAACAAATACATGGCCGGGCCATCCAGGTACTTAGTTTTTACCTCTTTACTGTTTACGGTTTGTTGACAGTGGGGACATATGAATATGTAAAAGACACCACAGATGCCAAAAATGTAGACCATGTGTTTAGATTTGGTTCAGCAACGAAAAGATGTGTGATTTGGAAGAGAAGAGGTGTTTACCCCACTGGGTTGTTATTTTATGTCCTTTTCCCCTTTTTTCCATATGTACCTGTCACTGCAATGTGTACTGATGCTCTTATGTAGAAGGAGTACTCTACTCTCTCCCCCATGTCATATTAATTGCCACCTACAAGCTTCCAAATTTCGAGGATGAACCTGTCTTTTCATGGAAAAAAAAATCATCGCAGCATAGCTTTCTTCCAAGATTACAACATATGGGGTCGGTATATCTATCTTGCTTGCATAAATGTTTGTATGTCGGGTGTCTTTTTTAGAGAATATATAGCTTCATGAGCTCATGACATTCATCCATTGTTAAATTATTCCATAATCATGTTTCTTTTCAAGAAAATCAGTATTTTATTTTATTTTTTCTATTACTTTATAGTGATTCATCACCACTGTAGTTGAAAGCGTGTGATTTAACTTTTAAAGACAGTACTTTATTTTATGTTGTATGCATCAGATAGAGGGGTTCTAATTAATCAACCCAGTGAAAAGTGAGAAGGGTTTTGTGTATCCGTGGCCAAAACGACTGCCCAGCCAGGCCACAAATAGCCAAAATTCTGCCTCAACTAGGCCAACGCAGGCTATATTCAGGCCAGACCAACAGCTAACTGCTCTGTTCCATGCTGTGCTGTGCTGTGACAGGCCCGGCCAACAGTGACTGAAGTGGCTCGGTGTCCATTTTTACCTTTTGGAGTTTCCAGTGAGTGCCAGAAGACTGTGCAAAAAATGAACTGAGCAGAAAAACAAATGCAACAGCCATTTGTGTTTATTGTGTTTATGTAAGCTCATATGTGATTGTGAGTGTGTGTGTGGGAGTGCGTGTGTTTTGGCTACATGTAACCCAAGTGTGTTTTCATGTCATCTGAAATATGTGGAAACCACTGGGCTTTAAAAATTAGGGTTTGACTGATATTTTCAGCAGATATAATAGCGATCAGACAGTTGTGTTGTCACCTGCTGGCATGATGGAGATCCCTCCTGACCACAGCTAGGCTACACAAAGAAAATGTAATATTTAACAGTTAAATGAATATTTGAAAATATTTTTTGCAACCCTACTACTGCATAATACTGTGTATACTCTGTAATCTAGTTTATATCCAACCTCATCTGAGATCAAAATGGTACTGGTATTCCAAGGTGATGTGCTTTAGTTGTTTCATTAACCTGTAATAGTGTCATAATTTTAATCACCGATGGCAGATTAAAAATTTTCAGTCCATGCGCAAAGTTCAAATGGAAGCTAATCCTATGAGAAATAAACCTTCTGTGTTAAATGACAATGACACAAAGGGACACAGAGCAGTACAGTACACAGCAAATAACTTTGGGTGAAGGAAGAAGTCAGTTTGTGTAGAAGTCTATGGAGAAATAGCCCCAACACCTATTATCTATGACTTCAATTAACACTTTGCTGATGACTTTATCGGCTCTGTCAATCATTCCAACTCTTACTAACACAACATGATGTTCACTTTATAAGTTATGGTCTCAGAGTAGAGTATGTTTTCTAAGGCAGTCCGTCCTGACTTTCAAGCTGCAGCATCCTTTGATTTTGCTGCCAGATTCACTTCTGCTCATGATGTCGGGACCCCAAGAAGTTGACTGAGAAAACACTCAAAGCTGTCAAAGCAAGTCACAGTTGATAAAACTATTTCCCATATGCAGTATTTAATGAAGAGCAGTGAATGGAGCTCATCGGCAAAAATAATTGTCAACATCTGCTTCTGGGCAAAAAAAGACCACATTTTATTCTAGTGTTCACTCATATAGTATCATTCAGAATTAACGTGAAACACAAATAAAACTCTGTTAATGGATGTTGATTGGCCAAATAACGATTTACCACAGGAAATCCTATTATTGCAACACACTTTCAAAGTATTGTTAAGTCAAAACAGAAAGGCGCACAACTTTGTTACATTTGGTTGCTTGCATTAAATTTTAAAACGTGTAAAGGTTGATGCTATTAGGGTAATGTTAGCTGCTGTGACCTGATCCAAACTCCTGTAACTGAATTGAATGGCTGAGAATTCTGAGTGGCCTTGAGCGAACAATATCCTCATTTAACCTCACATAATGTGCCCTGTTAGAATAGGAAGGGTTAATTTTCAGGCTCGTCGCGCTTCGATTGGTGCTAAAATTTTAAGGATTCTAAAATGCTTCAAAATGTGTATTTTGACCTTTTTAATACTTACAAAGTTCCATGTAAACACTGTATATGTGGCACTTTGGGAAAAATGAACAGTGCTCTTTGTGACCTTTCAAACAATATATCAGTCAAACCCTAGTGAAAAGCTGAACAGCTGGTAAAACAGACTGAAGGAGACGTGGCGTATAGCCTATGGAAACGAGGAAGAAGCTGAACTGGTCCACTTGTCCCTCATCCAGCTGCTGAGCTTGTCTGCTCTCTGAAACAGCTGCACGAGCGAACAAGATTAACTGATGTTCTGCTTGATATCTTAAAGCATATGATGACAATGATCGGTACAGTGAAATGAAGGTGTACACCGCGACAAAAAGAGGGACAGCCTGTGTGCTTAAGTAAGCATATATTCTCCATAATCCTTTTTTTTGTTTGTTTTTTTAAAATATCCCTATATATTGTTCACATGTGTATTATGTTCTTGTTGGGTTCTTTGTTTATCCTTTTGTCAAGAAAAGAAACTGTAAACATGTAAGCAAAACATACAAGATATTATTGAAATGTTCTTTTATTTTCATGGTTTTTGTTTATTTCTGTTTTTCTTTCAAATTCTATGTAATTATTTTTTCACAGTATTAAAAAAAATAAAATAAAAGAAGACACGGTTTCATAAGAACATTGGTAAAAGCTCCTTTTATTTATGCTACCAAAACCCAATTTTCAGAGAGCTTATTTTATAAAATTATATTTTGTTCATTTTGTAAATGAGACTCCGGGATGGGGCTAAAAATACTTTAAATGTAGTTTGTGCACCTTGTGTGCTGTTGTTTATTTAGGTCATACTCACACTGGCAGTATACAGCACTCAAACAGTTGTTTTGACAGTTTCTCATGTCAAGCAGACTGGAGTGAAAAGTAAGTAAGTGTGTCTATGTATAGCACACAAGCAAGAGTGATAGTGTTTACCTGAGTGTGAGGGAGACAGTGGAGCACAGTGCACAAAGCCAAAACAAACAGCTGCTGAGTCTTAGTCACTCCTCTCATTTAAAACTCATTTCGGGGTGTCTCCTGAAATGAGTCTTCCCTTCCTCTTCCCTTGCTTCATTTTGTCATTCTGAGTATCTCCTCTCCCTGATTCTCATTATCGTTTTAAATCTTCTCTCTCCCTCTTGCAGTTTAGATCTCCCTCCATTCCTTTCAGTGTCTGTTTTTCTCTCCATTTGCTTCGACTTGTCACTCCTTCTCACAGATAATATTCTTCTAATTTTCTCTCAACACCTTTCCTTTCACCTGACATTAGTCCTCCTCTGCTCTCCTCTTGCTCTCTCCTCAAACCATCTTGTCCCTTTCTCATCTCTCTAGCATCCTTTGATCTCCTGCTCTTTCACCTGTCCTCTTTCATTTTCATCCTACCACTATGCCATCGCCCTCCCTCTTTTTCAGATTTTGCTATAGCTTCAGTTCTCCTTTCATATCTGCTGTTTTATCCTCTTTATCCTTATCTGCCATCTCTCTTAATTACTTCTTAATTTTCCTCTAAGTCTCACAAGTCTAGTCTTTATCAGTTTTTCAACTCTTACATCTCGTCTTATACTTATCAGTC